CAGATTGAGCTAGACCGCGCTTTTCTACACTACTTAATAGAGCACTAACTGGCACTTTATTGCTTGAAAAATGTTGGCATTTTTCACAAAAAAATGCCGAACGTTCCAGAAAACTAGTTTGCGCGGTTGCCTTTTAAAGTGCAAACTCGAATGATGCCTTTCTCAGCGTATCGCAAGAACCACCAGAAAGACGTGAGTGAAGAAATGGGGGCAGTTTTCATACAAAAAACGAAATTCAAATATTACACATTTAAGTGCCTTTCATGTTTTTGCCCACCTTTTCTGCGTTAGTTTTCTGCATTAGTTTTGCGCGTTGGATGGGTGCGAATTTTAGATGAAAAAAAGTCAAAAAAATAAAGAAACCCTCTGATTTATTCTTAAAATTAAAAGTAAGTACAATGCTTGTTTCAGGCCTGCTAATAATAACATAACCACTACGTGACGTATATAAATACGCCTAACAATTTAATCAACAATATCAATGGCACTGGTTAAATATCACCCGATTCTATAAATATTTATATGCGAAATGTAACGAATATTTCCCTTAACTATTTACATTAAGTTGATTCTTTAGTGTCGTAAAACAAAATAATATATTTTATGTCGAATTGATGCATTTAAAAACCATACATTTATGAGTTAAATCCTAATACTAAATCAACAAATTAACACAATAACGTAACATACAGTATCATTATTTATTTAAGGGTATCACACAATTTGTACAAAATATAAAGTGAACAGATTATAAGAGTTAACATCTATAACGGTGTAATAAGAGAAGACTACCAAGGCTTAATGTTTTTCGCATTTATGTTAAAAGTGACTGGTTGCTGACCTCTTGTTATACTAAACTCAATGATCAATTGTAATTGAATTCAAATTATTGTCATGTTCACTAAAACAAAAATACGTGCGAATTTAATAATTGAACCAACCCAACTGAACATGTTAACATTATTTGTTATAACAAAGTAACAGTAGATCTAAAATACTAAATATGTTGGGTCATTGGAATTTGAACACAATTTTATATTAGATCAATTATCATGTATACATTATTATGTAATGTAGTTAGTTGTTTTTTATGGCAATTGTGCAACTTCCAAACTGGGTGATTTAAAACGTAGTAATCAGTTGCGACAACTTCACTTTTTCCAATATTTTTTATTCTAGAAAAAGCAAAGGTAAAAAAAGTAGTCAGTTTGCATACGAACGATGTGTGGTTTGAAAGTTTAATCTAAGTTGGCGCAATTTTTAGTAACAATCCGGTCCCAATAGTAAAATTGTTGTCAACATTTTTTCAATCGGCGGTTTGTTGACCGACTACTTGCATCACGACTAGTTATTTGTAAATAAAGTAAATATTTTTATTTACGCACGTATCACAGATGACGAATCTTATTCACTTCACAAAAGCTTAAAAATATGTTTTGAATTAAAGTACGAAACAACAATTTACGGCCATGACCTGGAATTTTAAAACCTTTCTATTTGTAATGGAAATAGGTAATGATTTTGAGGTGCTATTCTGAAGCATCCCCGAGACCGGTTTGGAGCCTACTAGCTCTCAGCATCTGGGTTTAGCCTGAAAAGAACACTTCCAATACCTGTACTTATGTATATAAAGTACCGGTATCCGGAGTGTTATTTTCAGGCTAAACCCATAGTCGGCTCGAAACGGATCCGGGGGAAGCCTGAGATTAGTACATCTCAAAACCTGTACCTGCTTACATTTGGCGGCTCTCTTGATGCCGCCGATGTCTTCCAATTGTGTTCATAATATCGCTTTAGATTCAACTATTTGCTGTAAACTCTTGAATTGACGGAAGGAGAATTTTCGTAGATCTGGGACTCGGAAGAGGTCGTATGCTAATAAATTATCGAAGAGTTAAAAAGATAATCCAACTACATGCGATTAAAACTAATAAAAATTATCAAGATAGTTAACTCTTGTGCTATTGACGCTCGAAGCATATCATTAGTTAATCAGTCAAGATGACGAAATGGTTCCTTTAAGAACATTTAATACACGATCACTGACCTGGTTGATATTGTATAAAACGTTCGAAAAGATAATTGAAAATAAAATTGCGTTCTGACGCACCATGGCCTTTTTATAACAACAGAAAGCATGGTATTCATGATAGAAAATGATAAAATTCTATCATGGGTTTTAAGAACAATAGTATCGACAATGGGTAACTTTGCGGGAACACAGATCAAAAATGTATAGCAAGATTAATAGAAAACGTATTAATTAATTGAATAGGATACACGGTATCTTATCGTATGTCTTGAGCTATATATTTATGATCAATTTTCATGGGCTTTACAAAACACTAAGGGCAAGATTTGAAAAAAAGAGGCACATGTAGGGCGGCTACCTCATAAAGCTATATGGTACCACATATTTAAAAACATATACATGACCTGGGATAAAGTGTCCAAACTATATGCAAAATTATTCTGATTTTTTGTGTTTTCCTGGACCTTAAAATGCTATTTAGAAGAGGAAGAACATAGTTTGGACACTATAAAAATATGTTTTAAAATATATGGGAATAGCAATCACGCTTTTGTAATAAACTCACTAAAAGTAGCTACAACCGGGATTAGGCAATTATTATTTAAACTGGATACTGCCATAGTTACATCCTCGATCGATCTTCTCGCTATACTTTGCACTGTATTTGATCATATACTTCCAATGGAAACCAATGGGAATAATGTATTTAGAATCGTTTGCTTGAATATTGCTTAGAAAACGCTTGTCCCACAAGGAATGTTATGGAAGATTCATCGAGGATGTAAATATCGTGTGAGATTGAATATATTCAGTAAATTCAGCTGGTGTTGTGACTATTTTTAAATATTAGTGAGCAAGCTCTTTTAAATACATTCCTAACTATGCTAAGGTAACAATGTCAATATTATTGTAATACTAAGGCACGGACCCAGCTCACTGCTTGTATATGTGACAAGCCTCGTTATATGATCAGAACGTTGTCATTCTAGATTCTAGAATATATTGGCTAGATTATCATGTAAATCCGAAGTAATATTCCACCCATTAGACTAATTGACAATATCATATAATTGCACTTCGAATGATTTATTAAGAGAGTTTCCAAGCTATCTAGCTGACTTTAGAAGATACAAATCTAGCCTAGATTGTTAATTATAGTAGGGATAGAATATCAGTTTTCCGCAACATTATTTGGAGTTTGTGGTGGTGCAAATAATCTCTAAAACCACAGTTGAACTTAGTTTTGGAATGACAACATCCCAAGCATTTTATTAACTGTGGAAGACAAGCATCTTTCATTATTCTACTCAATGTAGGAACGGAGTTGAATGCGCATTTCAAAATCACCCCCCTTTTGTTTACAAATACTTAGTTGGTTTGAGAGTTGTCTTCCCATAAGAATAATTTCGGCGGTTTAGGAATCTTATCAATTGTTAGTTATACTCAAAAGAACAGCTTAAAGGCAATAAGCATCAATAAAATAAAAAATCACATCTACTATTGCTGTTTGACCTGGTAACAACAAAAAACTGCTCCGCAACTGCATGATTGTTATTTATTGCATGTAACACCTACAATGTGATTTTTATTCTAGAGTGTGTCGGCTCATTAACGACTTTCCAGGTGTTCTTTTGAACATTTTCCTCCGAATCGTCAAAGTTTTAGACTTGTATTGCTTTCGTTTGGTAAAACTAGCGATGAATGTTTAAGTCAACCACACTCAAGGGCAACTTTTTCTTATAATTAGCTTTAATGTTATGTCACAGAAAAGTTAACAATTTCATAGTTCAAGTGAAAAACGACGATAACAAGGCAATTCCAAAGTATCAGCATTAATAAAACCACCTTCAAGCTCACGTCTTCGTAGTAGTTATAAGCACCGTTTAACTTTGGAGCGCTCAATAGATACTAGATATATACAATATATATTTATCATTTAATCCGTAAAGTTGTGTATATATACAACGCCAAACTTTTTGAACAAACCGTGTAGTAAAATATCAGGCGAAAAAGTCTTTTCATTCGTATTATGTAAGGTCACTTGTAGTTTTACCGAATTATTAATAATTAACGAGATTGGCCATGAAGAATTTTAGTCACTCTAAAGCTAACAACACCCCAGGAAAAGTTTCAAATCATATGGGTTTTCGTTGAAGTCGGAAGAAAATTTGCAATTCATACAAATCGCTTGTGTTAGTAGATATTCATTGGAATTGAATAAATTGAAATGGCCACCTTAAGAGTACTTTAATCATTCAGGGGGTTAGATTTGGGCGCAATTAGTCTAACATGAGTTAATGTCGCCTACTTAATCTAGATTCAGTAGAAGCATTTTATATCCAAGTAATAGTAGTCATTCAAATACTTGTATTTTCGCACCCAGAGAGAGTAAGTGACATTATTAATAGATCACCGAAAATCGGCTTCACGGCTCGAAGTCTTAAGATTAATTGAGCTTACTGTTGTGTCGGGTTGTATGCTCAACTAATCTTGCGATACTTCAAGTTAACGCACAGCCTTTATTGGCACCGGTGGCTACTTTTATGTATACGCTTTGATATAATCTAATTTACCTACACTACTTGAGCAGCTTCTATATTATGCCGTACGAAAACCAACTGATTTCCAAATATAAGAAGCACAGTTGCGAAGAAAAGTGATTTATTGACCTGGTAATCGCAAATGTAAACTTCTTAAGTTCGGAGTCAAGGCTAAACGCGTTAGTTGGCGCTGCGCATCGGCAAAATCCGTGCGCGCAGACAAAACTAGTAAAATTCAACGAAATTTCACACATAAACTGGCGGGAAAGCTGCAAAGGCAGTTTCTTTCGTTGTTGGTCGACATGTATCGCAGAGATATGGGGGGAATAGATATTGCTTTCCTACAGCTACAAACACATTTCATTTCTATCAGTTCTTCCGATTTTCGCATTTTTTAATTCTCGTTTAACTATCAAAAGCTTCAGTTATTTGAAAAAAGCCATTTACAAGGCAACATTACTATTCACTTAAAACCGAAAGAACTATAAAATTTACCTAAAAAAATTGAAGCTAATCCGTTCCCTCCATATCTCCGGTTCATTGCTAGGGCGACTTTGAGGGTTGAGATAGCTGATCAACAGCATCACGAGACGCCGTCGACGTACTAGAGTCCAGCGTATCACTAGCTTGAAAAAATCTATGGGCATCACACATTAAATTTGAATTATTACAGCACTGTCCTGTATGCTCAGCACTTGTCGCCGCAGCACTATCATCCATTAAAATAATTGTGTTTTGTTCCGGAGCAGCAGTATGTGTAATCATGTTAAAATCCTCTTGGTCTAAGTTGAAAAGAGGCGTACTCCATCGGGGGATGTTATTTGAACGCGAACTTCCTGAATAACATAATGACGCTGTTTAGTTTCACAACGAGAAGCTACATTAAAACAGAGAGGACATTGGGAAACAATATATGCTAATTACCTCTAGGTGTATTCACGCTCGGAGAGTACATACTGAGATTCGTAGGGCTGATAACACCAGACATTCCGGCCATATTCGGATAGCTGAACAACTGGAAAACATTTCAAGGTTTAGCACTAGCTATTTGTACGTATTTTGAAAAACTTGAGAGATTTTAATTGCCAAGGGCCAACTTCTTATAGAAAAATGGGCACCATACTTAATGAAATTATGTGAAAAGCATCCAGTGGTAAAAAATAGCTGATTTCAAAAATAACTGTTTAAGAATAGTATTAACTACCAACATGTCCTTGTTGACCGTGGAAGTGGCTGAAAGACGAGTAGTCTCTGGTGGGTGAATAAGGATTGCTGGTGGGTACAGAATTTCGTTGCGATGGAGATTTTCGTCGATCGTGGCTACCAGGACTTAAAGGTGGAGATGAACTGAGCTCGGGAACCTGCAAAGTAAACCATACCTTGAACAAGGTCAAAAAGAAAAATGAATAAGGCTTGTAATCATTTACACGGACTAGCTTTGATCGCATAATGAAATTTACCTCTTCGGGTGGTGAAGCATCGCTACAAGGTGGAGTTATATTGGGCGGAGGAGAATTCGGTCCACTCATTGAAACCTCCCCTGTCGATTGAATGATCGCAACGGGTCGGGCCATTGGCGGTAAAGGAGGTGGTGGAAGCATTGTGGATGGGAAATACTGCGGCTTTGGACTCCTCGATAAGCTGGACTGCATCTGGAAGAAGCATTTCTAATTTTAATTGGCTTCCAGACTAAACGCGATTTTATTTCTGCTTTGTTCGTACACACCTGTGCGTTTTGGTTGTTATCAGTTTCCTGGCACACGAATGTTACAAAGTCCGAGAGCGTATCGTGGCCATTTTCAGGATATTTCACTTGATTTTGATGATGGTGTTGAGCTTCGGGACTGTGTTGATAATACAAAGCATTGGGACTAGCTTGTGAACTAGACGATACTATTGTAGTGTTTTGGGGCATTGCTGGAACAATTTCCGAAATGAAGTCTCTAGCAAACAGTCTGAAGAAGCAAAATACTCACAATATGTTGCTGAAACAACCATAGCATCAACAGATGAAGATCGTTCGACGGGAACTACGGATTGTTCCGGATAGCTGTTACAGTAGTATGCTGGATGTTCTAGTTTGACGTTGTTCATGTTTGGCTGCGAGTCGGAGAGTTCGTGCAATATTGAAGCTAAAATACAAAATAAATTAGTGTCAAATATTATTTGTAAAAGCACGAACATTACATTTTGATAATTTCCACAACTCCTTGGATGAAAATACTCCCGTGGCTAAAATGATGTCGTTACATATTACGCCATTGTAGGGGTTGTGAGTGAAACCTGTAACCATAAATAGTCAAAGAGGGTTTGAATCGACAAGAAAGTTGAGTCTCAATCTCAATATAATAATATTCGTATGGAATATTATATTAATTTTTGGCGGTCTCTTTTGCATATTTACAGGTTCTATTGGTTACTTTCTAGATTTCTTACCTTTGCTCTTTCGTTCATCGTCCTTTTTGTTATTGTTATTATTGAAACATACCCCACTGAGTATTTCTGAAACAAAAAACATCTATGTTCTACCAATATCTAGGAGAGACATAACATTTTAAATGTAGGAACGAAGCAAGTCAATTTCGATCCCATATAGAGAAACTTGTTCTTGGAATGGTAGTCTAACAGAGAATGAAAGGACGGGTCCCAATTTTTTATGGCGTGCCAGAATCATTTTAGCTCGCTCCTGTCGGAAAATCTTTTCCTGGCATTGTTTCATACCTCGTTTTTTTTAATTTTGCAATTATAATCTGAGCGCATGGTCTAGCTGCTTTCCAGACTGCAGCATTATTAAATGCGTCGACGCGAAGTTGGGAACCGAAACTGTTGGATAAGGCAGACGGCGTCGATATCCGCATCCTATTCCCTGAAACTTTCCGCAGAGTTCATGGATATTTTTAGTTCATCCACTCATGAGGATTTCTAGTTGTATTTTTAAAGCTCAATCGAAACACCCAACACATCAAAAATACGCAATTTTCCATAAAACCAACGAGGACTTTTCTCGAAAACCTCGCACTCAAATTTTTTAGGTAAAATCAAGCTGGTCAGATGAAAACTGTAAAAGTTCGGACCTAATGGTTGGTCAATGCGAAGCAATACGTTTTACTTAAATCTGTTGTATATTCGGGCGGCTAAAAATACATTTAGTATTTATGTGATATTCTTTTGTATATTTTTAGATCGTACTCAATTTCCAATGGTTAATAATAATGAGTATCTAATAATAGTTTAGGATGGCTGTGTCATAAGCCATTTTGTCATTCTCCGGGAATTAACCTCGCACGAATAGTGCCCAGCACATTAGCAGCTCCAGTACTTTTTAAACCCGTTTAATAACATTACCCTGTTAAATGTGGGCAAATATTTACATTGTCCAGCTCAATAGATCCTCGCTAATTGCACGTGTAGAGCCTGTACAGTTCGTATCGATCAGAACCCACAGGGGAACTCAAAAGCAGAAAAGGCTGCTACCGAAACGGCGTTTTTAGTATCCAATACAGAAATTGCATCGTAATTCTGCCTATATTTATCTCGAATTCTAGCGGCCTATTTCTCTACGGCACACAATCATTTCTCCTTTCGATCTCAAATAAAAGTCGCTTCGTCTGTCTATCTGCCATGAAAGATGCAATTTATATTTATATCCATCTGCCTCGGCTTCTGCGGGGTTAATCAAGTTTCCACATTGGGGTAAAATGGAAAAACAACTTTAGAATTGCGACAACGACAATGTTTTTATCAACTCGAGAAGGCTTTTTTAGAGGAAACCAGTAAAACTACTCAAGCTAAGGAAAATCTGGATATCGATTTGAAAAAAATAGTAGGCGTCTGCACTAAATTTGGTGTGTTCTCCACTTCGAGACTCATTTTACCCATTGTTTATTGTGCAATTTTCAAATATACTTCGTGGCCCGCTTGACTTTTAAGATAACATTTTCTTGAAAATGGGGAAAATGTACTCAGTAAAAACGGGAAAAAAAGTATCTTGTCTTCAGCTGTCTTTTGGGTAAAAAGCAATTTTTTCAATAAATAACTCCAGAATTGGACGTGGTGTAAAAAAATCCTGCAACTATTGCACAGTAAAAAATAAGTCTCAGTTTCCCTAATGTGCAAACTGGGTAACAATAGTTCGAGTTTCTGCAAAATAAATATATGTTTACTTTGTAATAGCCTTCAATAGCGAAATTGTTCCAAAATAAAGATGTTTATTTTTCAAAAAATCGAACTATGTATTGTTAGCAAGTTTGCCCATTAGGAACAGTTATAACGAGACTTAGAAGTTATTAGCTCAAATCTCTCGTTGCCTTTTGTATCACCCCGAATCACACCCGAATCCTGGCAAATTCTTTGATGGTTCGGCATTTTTAGCAAGTCCCTCTCTCTATTCCTTTAACGGGACGTTGCTTATGTTGAAAAAAACATGTTTATTTCAGTGGCGGCTGTACCTAATATGGAGAATTTAATTGCGTTTGTATCATATTAAGATTGAGGCTCGACGGATGATGGATTTTAGGTGATTTTTGAAAAATTAGCTGATACTGTTAGTCGATGATGAATGGGGTTGTAAATTCGTCAAGATGCCGCTGGAGTTTGGTATACTTATTCTAAGCTAATGTCTAGATAATAGTAACTTGAACTTACCATGACTATTAATAAAATTTGCTAAATAAAGATCCAATTCTCTCACTGACACATTAATATGATATGGATTCACACAAAGTCCCGGCTGCGCACAGTCTGGGTTTTTCTCAAGTCGCTCACCATCCGTGCTTTCCAATGGAATTGCTTTAAATAATATCACCATTACGAGATCGAGTCGCCACACTTTATCTGCTTGTCGCAAACAGTCAATTCGTCGCATTTTGCCCTTTTGGTCTGGATTGGAAAGTACACACACCGCAGGCCGTTTACCCGTTATACTTAACACAAAGTCCTCTCGACACTCTTGAGTAATATCTTTTCGAAGCTTTCCCAACAACCGAGATGCCCATTTCTGCTTGACTTCTGCCTTCTCATTCTGGAACAAATTGACACACATTTAGCATTTTGGCTTCAAAAGGGTTCATCTTTAATTTAATAAAGCATGAAGCTACTTGATTTTCATTACCTGTAGTGCTTCTTTACATTGGCGCTCTTCTTCCAGTGACATTCTCTTCTCGTGCTTTTTGTAGTATTTTCTTTTGGCCGCTTGCAAGTTGAACCAGGTGTATGAAAAGGACTTAACAAATGGCAGGAGTGCTTCAATAAAAGGGTGGAACTCGTCCTAGATAAGATAGAGTACTTTAGTTGAAGCTCTGTGGGATTAATTAAGTCAAAGCAATCGTATCAAGCATTCGACATAAAAATACTTAGTAATGAACTAGTGCTACATTTAGGTAAATGAAAGGATTCGTGGAAAAGAAATATGTACAATACAATAAGGGTATAGTTGGAGGTAATGGTAATGGACACAGATCACTTAAGGGTCTTGGAAAGGTGTAGATATTTGTATTAGACTTATTAAAGGCTTTCTCGCTTGGACTGCTTGGAGCGTCATAGATCGATTCCAAAGGCCACGCCTTTGAAAAGGCATTAGCCCTTTAGGTCTGATTTAATTTACCCTTGAAAGCGCGGACGCAGCTACTTACTAGCCGATACATCTGGACAAATATCAGAAATACGCAATGCAGGTATTAATATCACATTGATCACCACTCGCATTTTCTTCACTCTGCAAAATTGTTTCTCCTTCCAGATTAGCAGATTTCGATCGCCCTTGATACACTATTCATTCTTACTTAAAATGCAACTCTGTATTTGCTAAACATTGTCAGTTAATGCATGCGAAATTTATGTGCGATGAAATGGGCATTCTAAATCGCCAATTTCCCAAGGCATTAACCTGCAGTGCGTGCTTACCATTTCTAGGAGAGTAACCACAAGACGTGCTTGAGTTACTCAGCAGCTTACACAGCTATACCAGTTTTTTGAGGCTTGCAAGTAAACGCCAATCAACTAAATTAAAAAGAATTTTGATTGTAATAATTTCCAGTTATCATTCATTCAACGCATCTTGATTTCTGAGTAGGTACAATTTGCATAACTGAGTGGCTTTGTGAATAATCTGTCGGTGTGCCGCAGGAATTAGTGAATAATTCCCCAATTGTGGACTATTTAAATGCGAATGTTAGCTAAAGTTGATTCTTTATTTAGTTTTATACGCTTGCTTATAATTCAACGAGTAAACTCTCTTCGCTCTGTCATACTGCCGTTACTTACTGCGACTAAAAATAGTGAGATATAAATATCCACCTGATCCTATAGGAACTCAAGCGGGTGTACACATCTTCAAGATTTTATAAGCAAATGCGTGTATTTTCATACGATATTTCGTTGTTTCTTTGGGCAATTAAAAGTTCAACAGTAAAGTGGATTTTGTTCAGGTCCAGTTTGAGCAGAAAACCGCGACAAGGATAAAAAGCAAATTTGGCTTGGAGTCTTTAGCGGTTTAGGATTACGGTTGCGAGTTTGAGTTTGATTAAATTAAAAAACTGCCCTTCCACCGCTTAATTAATAGGAATTTTTCGATTTAATTCCACTATATAAGCGCCTGGAATGTGGATCTTGTTCGTGTTGGGAGCGATCCAAATTTTAAACGTCACATATATGTGACATCACTGGGACATCGTAAAGTACTAATTATACGATGTGATTTGATTTCAAATGTCCTTTACATAACTAACATCTTATTTACAATAGATTTATTGAAAAAGTCACACCAACGGATAAGTTCACGCATAGCGCACTACGTATTAAAGGTAGCTGAGTGGTGCTTTCGACGTGTTTTCAAAGAATTTTCAAGGCTCCCAACATTGGACGTGAACCAACAAAACCCACTACAATAAAATTTGTAAATACTTGTTTCTCAGGGCTGATGTTTTGAATATTTTCAAAATTCGCTTGAAGTCTATGTTTTCACAGTGGAGTTTTTCAATAGAACTGTGAAAAAAACGGTCCCAATCAAAACTCAACATGTTTTGATTGTATAAACATACGCCACAGATCATCATAAAAAGGAATAAAATGCTCATTATCCCAAAGTAGGCCTGGGTAACACTGTGTTGAGTTGCGCTATTGAGTTGTTGCCGCTCTCTGAGTTAATGAGTTATAAGTCATTTATTAAAGCGTTACGAGACCAGAGACCGGAATGTTTACATCTAAAAAAGATTTTTTTCTGAGTAACGTTTTACTACTTTGTTCAAACAACTAAAAAAAGTCAAATAGATTTTTCCAGCAACAGAACTGAGTCGAAAGAAAGTCGACGAGTTTTCTTGTAGAATCGATCTCTCAATTTTTCGCATAAAATATTCAGYTTGCCAGTATTTTACAGTAAAAYGTTAGAAAAAAACCTTTTCTGTTTAGTGACAGTGTTGTTTAGAAATATTGASCTAAAAGTGAAGAAACCCCAGTTTCCGAAAGTTTTCCAAATAAATGATTATAAACTTTCGYTTTTTYAATTGGGGGAAATATTTTTGGAAAAAGACTCAAAATTAATTATTAGGGTTTCGCCCATAATTCGGAAAAAAAGTTTTCCAAACATTTGTGCAAAGCGGTTAAGRAGGCGAGTGTTCCAATAAAATATGTCATAATTTTTCACAGAAAATATCTGAAGATTGTCAGTATTTTAACTAAATAWTAATGCGATTTTTGCGTAGGAAGAATTGCTTAATAGAATAGAAACTTTGTTAAAACTAGAATGACCTGAAAATTTAAAGAAACTTTAAATATGTTCAGAGCGATGGGGCCGGCGAGTTTTCCAAATAATTTTTTGTAAACTTTWACTCCCTGGCCGTTTTTCCAMGAAAATCTTAATTACTTGCGGTAAAAAAYGGAATAAAATTATTTGGTTTTTGTGCCAAATTCAGCCRAAGCTGAAAAGGGTTTTCTAAAGTTCCCTGCAAACCGACGAATGCGGCGAATTTTCTAGCAAAATTAATWTTTGTCATATTTGGCTGAAAAGACCCTATTATTGTCCAGAAAAGAAGMAACTCATGAGAAAATAATGGTTWTTTGCGTTTTCGATTAAAAACTTTTAGTTTTGTGATCGGTTTCGRAGAAAATCTTAATAGTTTTCGGGAAAAAACGGRWGGAATTGGTTTTCCTATTTGTCTCGAATTCGAYGYTRAATAAAGATTTTGYAAAATTTTTAAAAAGCTATAAATTTATCTTGTAATTTTTCGCGTAAAAGACCTCCAAAGCGTCAGTATTTTTAAGAGAAACTCTTCAAAAWTGAGCGTTTTTGAGTACAAATYAAAGCAAAAAATAATTCAGTCAAACCTAAAAAACCACATTTTTTAACAAACGATGAGGTGACGAGATTTTCAAATAATCTGTTACACTTTCGCTTRTTCTGTTCGTTTTTAATAGAAAATGATTTGATTTTGTTCCAAATTCGACACTGGAAAGGAATTTCAAAACTTTTTACAAAAASACCAAGGATTCGAAATTAATTTCATAATTTTTCACGGAAAATATGTTATGTTTGGCAGCATTTTTAAGTGAAACTTTAAAAAATTGTGCATTTAGAAGAAAAGAAGGAAGCGGGTGTTTACAGACTGAAGAAAATCCGCCCAAAGGGGATACAAACTTGTATTATGGTGTGTATCATCGCACACTATTGACACACTATATTACAAGTTTGCATACCCTTTGATTGGATTTGGAAGAAAGAGTAACTTGGCTGAAACTGAAAAGCTCTGAAATTTTGAAGAAGGTCATTAAACATTTTCCCAGCAACGGCACTGAGTTATTGCGCCGGTGCGTTAGCTTGGCGCACCAAGCGTCACCAYTGAGTTAACCAGGCCTATCCCATAGGGAGAAAGCCTAAGATCAAAAAATGGACATAGAACAAAATGTGAAACAGGYCAACCCAAAAAARTGACTWTTTTWTGCAATRTGGGRGATAAAATGTCCGCTTTTTGCTCTTAGMCAACCTATGGGGAAKATGCAAAAAAGTGACGTGTTTTTCTCATAAGAAGATCGTCTAAGAACCAAAATTGGAAAGAGTGACAATTTTATCCTATGCGGGGAATACGATCAATTTTTCGCACCTAAAATTATCACTTCTTTAAATTTCYTTGCTCCAATKTCATTCGATGTCCACTTTTAATATCTGAGCTAAAAGAGCAAAATTTTGGCTCTMATTATGGCTCTCTTTATTTCAAAACAGTTAAWCACGAGAAACCTGCTGAAMAATTTTACTTTGTTAGTGCTAAGGATAATTGACTAGCAATTACGTTATTTACTAGCGTTGGACATATTACGGTAGCATATTAGTAACTCACTACACAAAGGTGCCAAACTAGCAGTCACACGAAAACACACAGACTCATAAGATTACATCTAGATTTTCCATGTGGAAAGTCGAAAAAATCACCCATCCAACTTTCCCAAACCAAACACAAAACGGCCGTTCTATGCAGAATCGGACGTCTAGGCATAAGAGCATAACGCATTTTTTAACGGAATGCTAAGCAATTTATGCTAGAAAGACCGTGTTTTACCATACCAAAAGCAGTTAGGGATTATCTGATGTGCATGGAAAGTCACAGTTCAAAGATATTTTGAAAAATCAACGCTGTGTAACGTTCTTTCAACGTGCAGTGCTAGTCTGCTGTAGGCAATTTTTGATTGTTTCGATGCTGATCAGCTAACCCTGAAGACTCTAGTTAAATATTCTTCAAGTTGAGACCATATGGAAATCTTTCCTTACAGCCTATACAGTGTGTTTTGGATCTTAGAAACTGTGAAAAGTGAATAAAACATTTTTTTCCATATGACTCCAACTGATGTAGGCACACTGTATATATGGATGGATGTTCTTAAAAGCAAAAGGTGGTTTGCATGAAGGGATTGAAAGGTTGAAATGACACACATACAGGGCGTTTCTTTGAAAGTGGCAATCCATCCAAACGTTCTAGATAAACTTGTACAGGCCCTTTCAAAGAATCATCCTGTATGGAAAAGGCTGTAGCAATGAGACACATTGATCAGCCACATAGAACCGAAAATTGTTGTGATGAAAAACCTAGATGTACCGAGATGATGCATGAGGAAATGATGCAAACATGTATCTATGTCTATTACGACAGTGCACTAGATACATACAGGGTGTCCCAGGCTGAGTGAGCAGTTTCTCGAACGCGGTGAGTACAAATTAATTGTATGACAATCGTTCATGGACTTTTCTCTCTATATATAAAATTCTTTATGGCCTATGAGAGGAAGACGTAGAAAGGTTCTCATACAACTTTTTATGTGCCATCCGAACCTGAGAGATTGCCCACTTATTCGGGGGCACCCTGTACAGAGACATAGAGAGACGAGAACATATCCTATAGCTTGTCATCTACTGATCCTGAAAACTTATATTTACTACTACTAGCTGAGCAAATTCCAACTCTTCATTACTACTTAAGTCTCTCTGAAGGATGTGAATTTCAAAAGCAAAATGCGTAATCTTCATCTAATGGTTGAAATTCCGCTAGACCAATCGCGTGGTGCTGGTGTGATCACGGCACCTGATTGGCGCTCATAAGGATTAGGACAAGTAAAGGGCAATATGCATGTCTCGTCTCGTTCTTAACAGATCACATATAGATATGATAGAAACAGAGCAGTCATGAACATCAATCAAACATGTCAACATCGAGTTTAGCGGTCAGACCTACAAAACGATCAAGTAGCGAAATTTTATTTCTGGTACATTCTAACTAAACGCTAGATCAACTAAAAAGTAAACGGAGTAACTCGGGGATCAACAGTTGGACATGCGACTTTGAAGCTGCGCCACTCTAGAATAAATGGATTACAAAGTGGATCTCTATGCGTAAATAGCTGAAGAAAGCCCCTGGTCATGCTCCTAGGATACTTTCGCCTCTATTCAGCAATATACTAAAGAAACTGAGGCAGCAAATTAGAGTTATTCAGGGAAGACTCTAAATATTCTATGGAATTTAACAGCTCATTCTAACTGTGAGGGAATTGGCAATTGCCAAATTCTCCAAAATGATGGTTTATTGAATAGTGACTATTTTAAGGCACAAGCGTTTATTAACTTTGCGTCGCTTTGGAGCAAACTAAAGAAATCATGCTTGTTCCAGCAGCGGATGCAAGCTAGAGAGCATGGTAAAATATGTGAGCGAAACGTTAGGAAGCAATTCCAATGGTCCACGGCCCAGGAACTTTGATAGCTTGTTTTTAATTAAATTAGCTCTCTTTAGTTGCTAGGTGGCTCATGCTTGGGGCTCGGCGCGTCTTTAGTGCATCTAGAACTATACACAGTGCGAGTCTCTAAACTCTCAAAACCAGATTTTTTAAAAGTGTTGGACACCTTGATTAGGGTTTTAAATTGCGCCCTTTTGGGTGCAAAAAATTTTTATACAGCGTGTTTCCAATTTGAGATATGATGCTCCAAAAATAAAAACAATGCCAATCCTAATCCTAAACGAAAAAATTAATTCACAAGGTTGAAACTCTGTTTAAAAAAATCCTAATGTCCCAACTAGGCTGATTTCGATCGAATCAACCAGTTTTCTGCGGCGTTAATTATTTTTAAAACCAAAAAGTTCCATCGAAAATTAGAATACTTCAGCACTGATTACAAGACGCCAATTTTGCACTGGACCCGTGAAAAATGTTCTCAACATAGAAAACGTACTATTTTCGGACCAATCAAAGTTTACTTTAAATGGGGAGGTAAATGGTGAAAATTTTCCATATTGGACATACAAAAGCCGACACCTCGTGAGTGAAGGCCACAGTCGATATCCAGACAAACTCATCGTTTGTACATGGATTGTTGACAATGGGACAAATGGGAGAAGCATGGCCTCCGAATTATCCCGATTTAACACCTATTGACTATTTCGTTTGAAGGTAGTTGAAAAGCAAACTGTTAAAGAGCATCCCGGGAAACATTGAGGAGTTGACTAATTTCTGCTGACGTAATGAGAAGAGGTTTTCATTTACACTTGCTTACAATGATACGTTTATCGGCGCTTTCTCTCTTCTATTGAGTTTCTTTCAGAATGATTTCCAAAACTTCGTCCTCGAAGAGAAGATTGCAATATTGATGTGCATCTGCGGAAATGACAACATTTATTTCCTTCGGTCCCGAAAATAGAAATCCGGATCAGTCCATTCGTCTTCTGGCTGTGTTTGATTGTGGGTAGTCAGATGAGTTTTCCTACTACTCGAAGAGCATTTTCAGCTAAATCAAGATCAGATTCTATTCTCTCGGAGTTAAAACTCTGCGAAATATTTTCGGAATCGCAAGTACGGTCCAGTTTATCATCAACGCTGGATTTTGGAAACTTTTTGATAAAAAAACATCAACCTTCTGCAGCAGT